AAACCAGAAAAGCTGGGAGGAAGGGACAGCAGGGTACGGGAAAAGAAGCAGAAGAAAAAACCTCTTTAATTATTAACTTTCCGACTAAAAACGAGAACAAGAAATTGCTCAGCATCGAAAATTCTGTATTTGAAAACATACATGGGTCTTGTTTGACTCTTATTTGTTTTTTGACTCATCAAAAACACGTTAAATTATCTGGTATCTCATCAACTATTGTTTTTTTTAATATGGACATCAAAACAAAAGTTGCTTAGCATCAAAAACTATTTTCAAAAAACAATCGTTTTCGGAATTTTATGTCATCACAATTAGTATGAGACCTTACGGTCATCTTAAGTCTTTTGCCATGTTAATAACTATTGTTTTTTGGCCATAAACATCATAATGAAGCTTTGTTTGCATTTTACCTCGTCATATGCAGTTTGACTCATTAAGGTCAAATTACATTGTCTGCTTTCTCGATAACTGTTGTTTTTTTGACATAAAAGAAGGCCTTTTAGCATAGAATTGAGAAGGCAGAAAACCTAATGATTGCAAAGAATTGAATTTCATAGACAAACAAACCTTCTTCGCCAAAATTTAAAGTGACCGCTCGACTAGCATAAAGCTCGACTCGCACAAAATTTCAAAAACTTGAAAATGTATCGACTAACTTGATTTTGATAACCTAATTTTTCAAAAAACAAAACAACAAAAATAATCAATTTGAACCTTGCATTTCTCAGAAATATAAATGTGAATTAAGGCAAACAACTATCGAATGAAACTTTGAAAGCAAGTTAACATCCGCCCTCACCAAAAAAAGCCTGTTTAGGGTGAGGAGGTCAACTTGCTTAACTTTGGCTCTGAGTTCAAATTTTCAGCGAATCAGAATAGCTCATTTTACAAGCAGCGCTCAGCAAACTTAAATTAAATTGATTTCTTTGACTTTTTCCCTCCCCTATGATATCTAGTAGTAAACCTCTCTCCACCTACAATGAAATCATCAACGGTTAAGAATAGGAAATTTTTTTTTATCTATCTATGGATCTCCTCTCTTTTGCAAAAGGGGGATAGTTAAAAGAGATCCGGAGGATTTTGACTTGGTCTCTTGGAAGGGAGGGGGGGGGGGGGGGGGGTGAGGGAGGGGGTGTATACCATGTTAATTTGATCCAAATTTTGCATCGCATAATTTGCGATAAGTCTGTCTCCCCATATGAATTTACACGTATCATTTACAACTACCCCTTTATGCATGTATTTTTATTTGACAACGCATTTCTGTGTAAAATATGCTTTACAATTTTTGATTTGATCAACAAAAAGTGGAGGTCGCAAAAAAGTACCAAAGAAGGGACCCATTGGGGGGTCCCTTCTTTGGTACTACTTTGCGACCTCCACTTTTTGCTGATCATATCAAAAATTGTAAAGCATATTTTACACAGAAATGAGTTGTCAAATTAAAATACATGCATAAAGGGATAGTTAACATAGTCCAATAGGGTGGGGTGATTGTTAACAAGATTCTAATGATTTTATTTTTATTCAATAATTGTTAGTCGATACGAAAGTAACGGAATATTTGTGCTCGGGGTGGGTTTTTTTTTCTTCAGACAAATTTCGACTTTTTAACTAGCCATTTCTGACGGATTTTTTAAATATCATTCGAAAGGTATTGTTGTCCTGAGCTCAAATTTGAAAAGATATTTCACCTGTGAGCATTTTTCGTAAAGTTATGGGGGTTTAAAGATTGTCATTTTGGCCGATTTGGGACAATTAACGCGCGATATAATTCGCGCTATTAACGTGTAAGCGGAGCGTTAATCCGTCTTAGAAATCGTTCCAAATTGGTTAAAACAAACTTATTCGCAACAATTGGTTTGTTACAAGAAGCAAAATCTATCCTTTTGTACTTTGTATGGCGTGTGGTATGGGGGGATGATTTTCATAAAAAATTTCAAATTTTAGAAAAAAAATTTCATTTTTTTTTCTATTATTCAATCTTTTAATGTTATTACTGCTCCATAAACCTAAAAAGGCAGTCGGAACATTCAGGGCTTCGCCCTGATGCGAGCAGACTTGTTCAACTTTGTGTTTCAATTTTTATGCTAGGCGATCAAATTTCAGTTTTAAAGAAGTTCTGCTAGTCGATACAACACCAAATTTAGTATACGCTTATACACTTGATTATTTGTATTTGTTATTTTTGGTCAAACTCTTCCTTAATTTGTATTGTCTGACATTATAGAGTTTGTTTTGTTGATGATATTAAAATTTACTTATGGCGTAGAGAGGAATGCGATAATGACAAAGACAACAAGACTGCTCGTATCAGGGCGAAGCCCTGAATGTTCCAACTGCCTTTTAATGTTTATGGAGCAGTAATAACATTTAAAAATTCAATGTAACAAAACAAAAATAAAAAAAAATTTGTTCTAAAATTTGAAACTTTTTATGAAAATCATCCCCCCACACGCCATACAAAGTACAAAAGGATAGATTTCGCTCCTTGTAGCAAACCAATTATGGCTCATAAGCTTCTTTTAACCAGTTTGAAACGATTTCTAAGACGGATTAAATCTCTGCTTATGCGTTAATAGCGCGAAAAATATCGCGCGTTAATTGTCCCAAATTGGCCAAAATAGCAATCTTTAAACTCCCGTAACTTTACGAAAAATGATCACAGGTGAAATATCTTTTCAAATTTGAGCTCAGGACAACAATACCTTTCGAATGATATTTAAAAAAAAATCCGTCAGAAATGGCTAGTTAAAAAGTCGAAATTTGTCTGAAGAAAAAAAACCCACCCCGAGCTCAAATATTCCGTTACTTTCGTATCGAAAGTCGGAACAATTAGTTTCTATTCACAGGAGGCATTTTTATCCTCAGGTAATTACGATTAAAACTAACCTATGGTGTAGAGAATATAAGCGATGATGACAAAGGCAATTTTTTATGGTGTTCTTTTTAAATGTCTTTCATGTCGAACAAACTTATCTGCTTCTTAATGCCTAAGCCAAACAAATCAATAATCAATGTTGAAACATGAGACTAACGTTTTAAACAAGTTGACCTGAGCCGTTACTTGTCGGTCGTTCTTATCATCAGAAAAAAAACATACAGGTTGTAGACGATGTTTGTGTTGACCTCGACTGTCTCCCATTCTTGCTGCAGGTTGATGAGTTTTTATTAAAAAACGTTTGCCTTTTCAATTGATTATAGTGAGTACGATTATACCGTATGATGGCAAAAGTTTTGCTAATGATATGCGTTAACTCTTGAAAAATAAGCTCATGCTTGACACTATTTTTGATTACAAAGTAAAGAAACAAATTTAAACTAATTAACAAGACTGCTCGTATCAGGGCGAAGCCCTGAATGTTCCGACTGCCTTTTAACGTTTATTGAGCAGCAGTAATACATAAAAAAATTAAATGAAATAAAATAAAATGAAATTTTTTTTTAATTTGAAAATATTTATGAAAATCATCCCCACACACGCCATATAAAGTACAAAAAGATAGATTTCGCTCTTTGTAACAAATCAATTATGGCAAATAAGCTTCGTTCAACCAATTTGGAACGATTTATAAGACGGATTAAATCTCCGCTTACGCGTTAATAGCGCGAACTATATTGCGCGTTAATTGTCCCAAATTGGTCAAAATGGCCAAAATGGCAATCTTTAAACCCTCATAACTTTACGAAAAATGATCACAGGTGAAATATTTTTTCAAATTTAAGCTCAGGACAACAATACCTTTTGAATGATATAAAAAAATTCCGTCAAAAATGGCTAGTTAAAAAGTCGAAATTTGTCTGAAGAAAAAAAAAACCCACCCCGAGCACAAATATTCCGTCACTTTTGTATCGAAAGTCGGAACAATAAAACTCCTTGGAAGAAACTATCAGAAAACTTATTGTCATACATTAACATGAAAATGATTCTTTTTTAAAATATTGTACGTGCCACTTTATGAATTTTCTGCGTATATGTAATCAGATCTTTTGCTTACAGTAAGGTATCTACAGAATGCAAATGCGATGAAGGCTGGCGAGGATCTGATTGTGCAGAGTATGTGGGTTGCTTGGTTTCCGGATGTGGTTCCGGATCATGTGTTTTCTTAAATCAAACTGAATCCTTCTGCCAATGTCGTGAAGGTTTTTCTGGGAAAAAGTGTATGACTTCAACCAGATATCCAATTGCGTCATCTGGAAACTCATCCATTTGTGCGTCATCTGGAAACTTATGCAGACGCTTCAAAAGTATCGATCATACCTGCAATGAGGTAATATTTTACCTTGGTGGTATCTGACCTTGAAAAAGTAAAAAAAAAAAGTAGTGCATATGTCAAAAAAGATCGAGTTAACATCTCCCCCCTCCCCCCTAAAACGCTTTAAGGGAGGATTATACTTCGATCCAAACTATTTCCTTGTCGCCGAAATTGGTCTGAATAAAAAAATAACTTCGAGCATCAAATTTTCACGAAAGTCATTACAACAAATTCAGGTCAAACTGTGTCGACTATTCGATTTTTGAATTAAGATTTAATTTCAGAGAACAGCAGGAGTTACTGTTCAGAGACGGGGGCGGTATGACATTGAATTCAATCGGACCTTTTCAGAGTATGAAAAAGGGTTTGGTGACTTTTGTGGAGAGGGAGATATGTGGCTGGGCTTGGATAGAATGCAGAAGCTAACCCAGTATGGACGGTGGACGTTGCAAATTTCTATGAGAAATTTCTCCGACAATGCTTTGCTGTGGGGAGAGTGGGAGGGTATGTTCTTGACGTTAGCTAAATTAACATGAATTGTTGTCAATCTTCACACTTTACGATTTTTAGTTGAAACTTTGCATCATTTTATGTCGTTTCTACAACAAACCCTTAAAGCATTCATCTCCAGATTACAGAGCTATCAAAATCCACGAGAGGGGTTGATGCTAATGACTTAACCTAAAACTTAGCCAACCAAAATAGCATGGCGCTAGTAATGTTATTGGGATAAGAAGTCAGTCGAAGATTGCTGACGTTTGAACTGATGAACAAGGGTGCCACCCAAAAAAAATGATCAAGGCTTCAACAGAATACAATTTATAACCATCTTAACACACATGGTTATCTTCTCTTTTATCTCTAGGTTTTCTTTAATGCTTGACAGGGGTTTCAAAATTCTTACATCACGTGTCGAGGTTTTAGTTGTGTGCTTGAACTATCGCGGCTAGATTTTGGTAATTCCAGACTGCTACGGCCAAATTTTAGTTTTCCGTCAGGCTTAGTCAGGCTTATTCAGCTTAAGACAGGGGCGATTTCAGGGTCGAGTTCAAATCCGAAGTTTTGAAAAAACTTTTGAAAAAACTTTAGACTTGATAATCCCAAATATTGAGTTGACTGGCGGCGTTTCATGCTATTTTTAACTAAAAATGATTTAAAAATTTTCCGTTCTTGATTATTTAAAAGCTTTTTTTTCGGCGAGATTGATTAAATTCAGCTGCAAGCATGAACAAAATTTTTATGTTAGCAGAGTTAAAAAATCGTATCTGATCATTACATTGACAACAAGTTAAAATTTCTAAGAACACTTTTTCAAAATTGTGGAAAGTTGTGTTTATATATCCAATTGATGATTATCGAGACAAAAACGGGTTTCTTTTACGAGCTGTTTTGAAAAAAAAAAACAGTTTTGCGAGGATGAACCAAATTCTGAAGAGGAGTCCAGATCTCCCAATGTGATCCGGTCTAATCGATTATAAGTTCAGTTTTGTATTCAATATAGTCCATTATTTTTTTTAAAAAATCCATGAACATCATTTTTTGTAGATGTGAATTGTTTACCCTTTTTGCAGCGTTCTGCATATTTAGAACCCGAACGAACACATTCATTGTCATCCCCGTGCACCCCAGAGTTTTAATAACCTTACCCTCAACCCCAGTTCATTTTTTCAGAACTAAGAAAAAAATTAGGAGAAAAGTAATTAAAAACGAGATACAAATTTTTTAATACCCTTTGTACTTGGGCGATAAAATGAAGAAGAATAACTTTTTTCTTCTTTTTATTAATCCGTCAATTATTTAACCAAAAACAAGCCTTTTAATTGGCCTTAAAGTGCAGTCGGAATATTCAGGGCTTCGCCCTGATATACGAGCAGCCTCGTTCGCAATTATTTATCGCTCATTGCTTTCATAAACGTAATGAAAAGGAAATTAGAGCTTCGTCCGAGAAACTTCATGGCCCCAAAGAGTTTTCAAGTTTGGGACGCTTCGAACAATATTTTATATTTAAGCTCTTTTGGTAGTCTTTGGAGTTGTTTTGAGTCCCAAAAAATATTAGCGGGAAGTTGTTGCTTTTTAGAACGTTTCAGCATGCTATATTCAGCAAAGAACGAACGTTAGAAATAATTTTTCTTTTAATAAAAACTTTGGGTTTTGATTAATGTAACCGAACATTTATTCTGTTATTTCTGCAATAGAACAGTAAACTCAGCTAACTTTGTCCTTGTTTAGACTTCTTCATTCATCCTGCCCCCTTCTACAATATAACATTTGGCAAAATGGTGGCGAGGAGTCAGAATTTGCGCAACACAACTGATAATGGTGGAGGCCTTGACTACAACAGGGGACGGGCGTTCTCAACTCATGACAGAGACCAAGATGAATGGAGCGGAAACTGTGCTGCTAGTGATGGAGGAGGCGGCTGGTGGTTTTACAGGTGTAGTTACATGTATTTTAACGGAAACAGAACTATTTCAGATAGAATAGACGGCGGCAAGCAGATGTCGTACCAAGACGGTAGTGGATGGATACTAAAATCATCTAGTCAGATGAAAATGATCCGTGTTGACTGATCAGGAAAACATGGGCTACATATACATTATTGTTCCGACTTTCGATACGAAAGTAACGGAATATTTGTGCTCGGGGTGGGTTTTTTTTTCTTCAGACAAATTTCGACTTTTTAACTAGCCATTTTTGACGGAATTTTTTTATATCATTCAAAAGGTATTGTTGTCCTGAGCTTAAATTTGAAAAGATATTTCACCTGTGATCATTTTTTGTAAAGTTATGGGGGTTTAAAGATTGCCATTTTGACCAATTTGGGACAATTAACGCGCGATATATTTCGCGCTATTAGCGCGTAAGCGGAGATTTAATCCGTCTTAAAATCGTTCCAAATTGGTTGAAAGAAGCTTATTTGTCATAATTGATTTGTTACAAGGAGCGAAATCTATCTTTTTGTACTTTGTATGGCGTGTGGGGGGATGATTTCATAAAAAAATTTCAAATTTTAGTTAAAAAAATTTTTAATTTTATTTCATTACATTTTTTTTGGATGTTATTACTGCTCCAAAAAACCTTAAAAGGCCGTCGGAACATTCAGGGCTTCGCCCTGATACGAGCAGTCTTGTTTGCTATATGATCATTTGAAACCTGATTTAACTGAAGTAGTTTGTGGCATATATCAGCCACGATTTTCTGATTTTGGAAAATAACGGAACTTCAACCATTCTGAATTACGGTTCCTGCATTTTTTGTTAAGATTCATTTGATTCGCTGAACTTTAATCACAAAAATTTGATTTAGTGCACTTCGATTAAATCACTGACAATATGCAAGCTGAAGCAATCATGTAGCTTTGTTACACTAACGTTCAATCATTGGCGCTATTTTTCCATAAAAACCTCCTTAAATGATCAGTGTAATTTTTTGATGCTAGACATCAAATGAAATCCGCTCAGTGTGATGTAAACGACTTCCTTGAATTACACTTCATTGAACCAGTTCACCTTTTCTGAAATGTGTTTTTTCATAAAACTCAACCGTGATTGAAGTTAGAACTCAAATTAATCAGAAAGCGTATCCTATAGTTCAAAAACAACGCAAGATTTGAACTCAATAGATTGTTTATTTAGGAGAGTAATATTATACAGACAGGTAAACAATAAACCGCGTGTACAAATCAAACCCACCAAGGATCATGCAAAAGGCTATGCAGCTTATCGAGGCATGACCCTGAAAAAAGCTATGACCGAAGTTGCGAGATAATATCCGACTTGATGATTCAAAACAAAAAATCTATAAGATCTCCTTTATCTTTAAGAAACAATGAAAACAAATTTTTGAAATACCCATTTAGTTGATGCTTAGTTAATTGGTTTAGATTATCTGGTACCAGCTCGTTTGATTTCAAAAACCTATAACATTTGAGAGACACATTTTTCTATGAATGCTGCATTATTTGTGTTCCAGTTTTCATGCTTGGTAAAGTTTTTGACACAGAGGCCCGAGTAACCGCACGACTATTTAGAGATTCCAAATTAAAAGTTTCAAGGGGAGTTTTACCACGAAGTTGATTAATAGTTTCTTTGAATATTTGTCTGAAATATAAGTCAAAAAGGGTTTCAATCTCAAACGAATGTAGGATATATGAGGCATGATTACATTTTCTCTTGAAACAAATAGTTTTTGCATCACAAAATTTTTTCAAATAGGTTTTTGATGTTGCACCAAAGCAATTAAACCCTACGAAATGATTGGCTTTGCATAGAAGTTATAAAATTTAACCAGCACATTTTTCGAGAAATAGTTTCTAGCCTTGAATAGTAAACAAATAAATTTAGCTAAAATACCACAATCATTATTGATTTGACTTTCAAATTTGAGTCTGTTGTCCAATTGAATTCCTAAATACCTAAAATCAGAAACCTCGGCGAGTACAATATTCCCAAAAGAAAATTTTTCTTTTAAGTTATCCCGTCCAAACTTCATTAATTTGCACTTCTTTTGATTTATGAGCAGTTTGTTTTTGTTGCACCAATTACAAATTGTATTCAATTCTGTCTGGAATTTTGTTTTGGATGCAAATTTTTGAGCATCAACTACCGTTGTATCATCTGCAAATAATGTTAATTTAACGTTGCTGGCCAACGGCATATCATTTATGTATTAAAGAAACAGAAATGGCCCCAAAACTGAACCTTCAGGATCACCTTTTGTACATTCTCGCATATTCGAGACCGATTTATTCCAATAAACATTTCTCCCTGTAAGATAATTTGTCACTAACTTGTGAATTTCCCCCTGAACCCATATTGATAAAGTTTGTCACGCTAAGTTTTCCGATCTACTGTATCAAATGCTTTTTTCAAATCAAAAAAGCAGGATGATGACAAAGTTTTTTTTATCAATTGATTCGCGAAAAAAGTCAGTAATGGACAAAATGACATATGAATACTCCGAAAACGAATTTGATGCTTATCAATCAAGCTTTTTTTAGCGGCAAAATTGGATATGCGCTTGGAAATTAGTTTTTTTTTTTTAAATTTTACTTATACAAGACAACAGATCAATCGCACGGTAGTTATCAGTTTCAATTTTGTCGCCATTTCTAAGCAATTGTAAAATTTTTGCAAATTTGAGAATTTTAGGAAAACACTCTTTTTTGAAGCAGATTTTGAAAAAATTCGCAAACTGGTCAGCCAGCACCGGAGCAGAAAAATTTACCATTGTACTACATACCCCATCCTGACCAGTCGACTTTTTATTGTTCAAGATTTTAATTTCCTTTAGTATCTCATATCGATTGGTATCATATATAACGAATGTGTTTTCACTAACTGGAAAAATTGATCTATACACGTTTTGTTTGAAGTTTTCTGTTAAATTTTCTCCAATAGTAGCAGAGTGTTCATTGAAAATATTAACAAAGAACGAAGCAGTATGCACATTTTTTTTACCACAGAAACGATTAAAAGCATCAAAAGTTCCGGACGAGTTCTGCTTCCTCGTTATCATGTTATCATAGTACCAGCGTTTACTCTCCCTTATAGCCTTAATAACATTGTTTCTACATGAGGTGAAATTATTTCTGTTTTCAATGGATGGTGTCTTACCGACTTTTTGTATATAATATTTTGGTTATTCATCATTCTCTTAATTTTCAGATTAACCCATGGGTGGTTGTTTTTATTCTTTTTCGAGTTTTTTGGGCAATACTTAGAAAATTCATCAATCAAATTTTGAGTCATTTCACTGATGTACAGGTTAGGATCATCATTATCATTTTTGTTCAATCAATTTTTTAGCGAAAACAAAATTTTTAAACTATAATCATCATTTAGTAGTAAATCATAGTTGAAATCCGATTGATAAGAATCCACTTTTTACTTTTCTGAAATAAATTTTAGGTCACACATAAGTCCTTAATGGTCACTAACAGTACAATTTATTGTTGTTACCTGAGTTGCCTCCGCCGCAGTTCTATGGTCAATGCGTGCACTTGATATATTAGTTACTCTAGTTGGCTCGATACTTTGAATTTCTAAATCAAAACAATGCAGTAGATTTTTATAGTCAATAAAGTTGCGCTGGATACCCATAATATCGACCTTTAAATCACCAATTAGCAAAGTTTCACCGTTTAATGCTTCCATTTCAAGCTATAAATCTTCAAATAATTTCAAAAAAAGGTCTTGTTTGAGATTGGGTGGACAATATAATATGCAAACATTTAGTGAAGAGTGATCGACAAAACACAATTTGATAACGATGTGCTCCAAACTGACTGGTAATTTAAAATAACTATAGTTGAGGCCAGTTTTAATGTAAGATGCAACGCTTCCATCTCTAGCGTTTACGCGGTTTGCACAAACAATATTGTCATAACCTTCTAAGTTAGCTAAAAGCCAATAGAATCATTGTCCAAGAGCCATGTTTCAGTCAGCCCGACTAATGCAGGCTTGTTATTAAAGGATTCAATACTACCAAGGACTAATAATTGGACATGATAGGCTCTTATGGATTGAACATTTGGACAAAATTCAGTTTTTGTTGTTGTCAGGTCAGTCATATCTCGCAAAAAGTTTTTTCTAAAATAAAACAAAAGAGAATTTCGGCAAAAAACTGTAAATAGAGTTGAAATGCATTTGCCACTAATCAAAATTATTTTCATTAGTTTTATTTCCATTGTTGACAAATTTGGGCCTCGGAGAATCCCTTTGAAGTAATTCCACAAATTGCACCAATTTGACGGGATCCGATAGCCTACTGTAAAATTCATCAATCAGTTGATTTCTTTCCACATTGTTCGGGGTTAATTCTCTATCACGTTTCCTCACTGAAACAATAGGAGGCGAGAAAAGTTGTTTTAATTATTTTGTACTACTCGAGGATTTTGATTTCTCGCATTTTTTGCCTGTTTTGCCATCGTTGGATTCTTATTTTTGAAAATTTGATCTGCATCCTTCATATCAACTAATTTGCGACTTTGAAATTCACCATTTGCTATCGAAACGAAAACTTTAGGAGGACAATTATTTGTAACTGTGTACATTCCCAAACCCCGAGATTAATCAAGAAGCTCTGAATCGCGCTGAGTAAGACTCTCTGTTATATACACTGGTTGCTGATTTACAGGGTGCAAAAAATCTTTCATTAACGTTTTTCTGCCATAAATTCTGTTTTTTACATTAAAGAAGACATTTCTCACTATAACCACACATTTTTGGTTTTGACTCACAGGATCGTAGCTGTTTACCTCCACGTCCATAACGTCGTCAAAAAAGGCGCTGACATCATGGGTAAAATTTCCAGAACTTAAAGGTAAATTTTGCAAAATAAGACAATCTTTTGAACTATATCTTTCCATTTCATTAAGTTTATTCTCTAGAAAATGATACCAATTTTGCAATCCAACAAGGATATCATCCTTAGTATTTACATTCTCAATTAGCCCTTGTAAAAGGTCTTTCAATTTATGATCAATATTTTCTGTATCTTTTATTTGATCGAATAAGGTATTGGTATTCGCCATTGAATAAGTGTGCGATGTTTTGAATTCGTGGCAAGC